CCGACAGTATATCTGAAGTTGTGTAGGATTAGATTGGAAAGGCGAATTAACTACATGGGACCCAAAGAAACTTTGGTGGGAAATGATTACCATGTTGGCTATGATAGGATTTCCATGTTTATTCACTTGTCAAAATTTACTGTACATTTAAAAGAGGAGCATTCTATATCTTGATTTTCAAAGAGGCATTAAGAAACGTCAATAAAGTTCGTTTTGAAAATGAGAACATTGGGACCTTGGGAGCTCAGTCCAGTGCTCCAGTGTGGGTCTCTGTCTCTATCTCCATCCATCACCAGATGAAGGTTCTATGGTGATATGAAAGATATTCGTCAGTAATGCTATAGGATAGGGTCAGTTCAGGTTCCCTATCCTCAGTTTCCCAAGGGACTAACTGGGGACATCACCTTGGGCTCCTGGGAGCCACTCTAGGTTCAAGTCTCTTGCCCACACTAAGGTGGCTCTTTTAACTAAGATATGTGCTTCCCTGCTCCCCTATCCGACCTTCCTTTATCCCAATCTTCCTGTTTCCCCAAGTTCCCCCAATCCTCCCCTTCTTGCTTTTCTCTCCCTGCTCCCAAGGTCCCAATGAGAAGCAGATGGAGGGAGAACACGAGCAAGGATGTCAGGACCACGGGGGGTGCACCCACCCACTGAGACAGTGGGGCTGATCTATTGGGAACTCACCAAAGCCAGCTGGACTGTGACTGAAACAGCATGGGATAAAACCGGACTCTCTGATCACGGCGAACAATGAGGACTGATGAGAAGCCAAGGTCAATGACAAGGGGTTTTGATCCTACTTCATGCTCTGGCTTGGTGGGAGCCTAGCCAGTTTGGACGTTCACCTTCCTAGACATGGACAGAGGGGGGAGGACCTTGGACTTTCCACAGGGCAGGGAACCATGACTGCTCTTTGGATAGGAGAGGGGGGGTGAGAGGAGTGGGGGGAGGGGGAGAAGAGAGGGGGGAGGGGGAGAAGATTGGGGGGAGGGGGAGGGAAATGGGAGGCTGGGAGGAGGCGGAAACTTTTTTTTCTTATTCTCAATAAAAAAAAAAGAAAAAGAAAAAAAAACTAAACAAAAATTAAATCAATAAAATTATTTCTAATGATAAAAAAAAAGAAAATGAGAACACTCAGATAACAAGTTCGTCCCTTCTAACCATATTAAGAGTCCAAAAGATCCCTAATAAAAGGTGGTTTTGTTTTTCATTAACGTGTTTGACAGAGCTTTTTTGAAGCTGTGGATCCCAATCTTTCCCTCTCAAAAAAATATGACTAAAGCGATGTCATTTCTTACTTTAAATCTAGTGGGAAAAGCCTCAGCAGAACAACTTAGAAAACTCTAATAACTGCTATTTCAGATCAAGAAAGAGCCCAAATTATCTGACTCACACTTGAGAAATGTAAAGACAGAAACTGGCCAGAACTCTGACGGCAGAGCAAAGGGGACGCGGCAATTTGGTGATTATGGTGCTTCCCGAGAATGCCTGAGAACAAAGGATTGTAGCGGGATTTCTGAGGGCCCAGTGCCTAGAGAGGACTACACTGGAGACATTTTACATCTTGTCTAAGAGAGGGGACTAGCAACATGAATGACCCTTTGCAAAAAGTAGTGAGATGAAAAGGACCGAGAGCTCAAGGAGAAGCAACAAGCCTCATGAGAGGTACAGGGTACATCAGAGGGCACCTTCCCTCCTCAAGGCTACTCAAAGGAGTAGGACTACAGAGCCTGGGTGATCTCTAACCAACCCACCGGAGAGTCCTAAAGCAGAGCACTGTATTTAAACCATCCCCCTGCTCACAGAGAAGGAAGGCAGCTTTTCCAGTAGCTGTTACGAATGTTCTTGCCCCCTTCAACATCCTCACTACACCTCTCTCAGGCTCAGAAATTGGAGCATTCAGAAATCATGGGTAGTGGGCATGAGGAAAGGATCAGGACAAAGCATGGAAAGGAAGCAAGGGAGAGCAGCTGTCTGTGGACTCCATTCCCAGCTACGAGCATCCCATTCATGGAAGGTTGGCAGAAGTTGTTGCTTGGAACCAAGACTACAGTGTCTTCTGGTCATTTGGGACATCAATAGGGAAGAAATACTCCAGGTGAATGGATTTCAAGGAGTAAAGTACCTAAAAGTAAATTGCTTTCTGATTCTGTCCCATGATTTGTGCTTTTTCAAAAGCACCATTTAATTCTGATCAATACTCCTCAGAGGTGAACTGACCAGGAGGAGACAACTTCTCCAAACAGAGCCACCACAGAAGGGCCAAGCAAGCACAGAGACACAGTTCAGACTCTCTATGCACAATCTCTGTGATGGTCGCGTCTTAGCTATCAACCATATCAGACTACATGGTGCAAGTACCACCAACTCCTCGGTTTCTAGAATTATATCCCCTAACGATTCTGATCTCTCCTCTACTGTAGGAAGGTTTAAGTTCCACTCCATAGCTGTGTTCTTATTTAGCCTCCACAAAGCCTAAGTCCTGGGTCTCCTACTTTGGGGGTAAATATCTAATGAATTAATTTAATTTGCTCTTCCTCTCCTCCCCTCCACCCTCTCTGTGCTTTATGTATGTGTGTCCACTCACATACATACACACGCATTCAAGTGCATGTGAGATTTGTGTGTTCATTGTGAGTGACATGTTTGTGAGTACCACCATATGTCACTACCACTTGTGGTGGTCTGAAGACAATCTCAGGTACATGGTACAAGCATTTGCCTTCTATTATGATTGAGACATGGTCTCTCTTACTCCCTGGATCACAGGAAGTCCTCCAGCTTCCAGAGATTCTCATCTCTACATCTCCTCTTACTTTTATGTGGGATCTGGGGATCTGAACTTAGGTCATCTGTCTTCCACGGCAAAAACAGTATCTACTGAGACATCATCCAGCCCCTTGTTTCTGCTCTCTAAAACTTAGAGAGGCCTTTTGTCTTGTGCATAATGAATTTGTTAGGTAATTAATTACTGAATAAAGAATGGAAGACCAGCCACATCAATTCCCAGGCCATCATTCAGCTTTTTCTTGTGATATTTTTGTTCAGTTATATTTATGTTTTTACTCTCAAAGTTGAATGGAGTCATATTTGCCATTTAATAGGGGACTCCTTAGAAACATTTGTATTCATTGTTAAAAAGACAAACTGACTGATTTTCTAGTTAAAAAGAAACAAGCAAAGATGGTCAGCAATGCTGGCTCCCTGGCTCACCATTTATGGGATTCTGACTTTACCCCAACTCATGAGAACTCCGTCTATTTGTCCAACACAACAAAACCAAAAGTGAAAAACTACTGAGTGAAAATGATATTTGGTCCTGGTTTATTAAGAATTCCAAGGGCTCAGTTTCCCTTACCTTGCAAAGCTCTGCTTCCCTGGTTGGCCCATTCTCCTGTGGCTGCAATTACTACTTTCAACTTCACAGTCAAGAAGCAGAGAAAGAAATCGCATCTCTGGTGACAGTTTCTTGTCTTAGATTTCAATGTCTAAGACTATACTTTAGGGGTCATTTCTATAGTTCGTTACTAGAATTCAGTGTCTGAGAATAAAGGGTTAAGAAGACCACATCCCTAACCTTTGATCCACAGAATTCTTTTCTATCTATTCAGATCAGTGTTGGTGCCAGGGTCATGGTCTCTCAGTTTTCTGTCAGGGTCAACCATCCTACCAGGCAGCATTGCTAACAATGAAAATGACCCTGGGCTGGCAAATTAAACAGAAGAATCACAAATTTTACATGTCTACACAGCGGATGAGGCTGTCATGCTTTTTAACTTCCCCGAGTTTATCTTTGCTTCTAAACGACTTTTTTACAGATATCCTTAAAGATAGCCTATACATTCCCTATAAAATACCCTAGTTCTAATGCATTCCTGACCTGTGCAATGTTCATCTTATTAACTTTTTTGAAATATTTATTTCTTTTCCATTGCCAAAAAATTGTTTATATTTGTGGTGAACATTATACTCATTAAGTATTTATGCCTGATGTGTAATTTTCAAATCTGAATAATTAGCATATCTATATCCTTATTACTTTGTGTTTGGATTCTTCAAATGCTTAGATGTTCATAAGGTATGAAAAGGGAGGCTGGGAGATGACTTGATTTAAAAAATATTTGCTGTGCAAGCATGAGGACCAGAGTTCAGATTCTCAGAACCATGGGAAAGCCACGCAGTTTTACCACCGTAATGCCAACACTTGGAAGGCAGAGACAGAGAAGCGCTGAGACATCTGGCTAACAAGACTAGCTGGTATTCGTAAGTCCGGGCTATGTGCAGGACCCTGCCTCAGTGGATAAAATGGAAAATAACTCTGGATGTCAGTAGACATCAACTTTCGATCTCCACATGCGCCTTCACACATATGTGCCTGTGTGTGCCCAGACTTGTGCAAACATGCATATACATGCACACTTGGTACACAGACACACACACACACTATATGAATTGTGTATATATGCAAACATATACAGATGCACAGACACACACACATACATATACATGATTTTTAAATTATTTTTATTGAGCTATATATTTTTTTCCACTCCCCTCCCTTCCTCTCCCTTCTCCTTCCACCCTCTCCCATGGTCCCCATGCTCCGAATTTACTCAGGAGATCTTGTCTTTTTCTACTTCCCTCATAGATTAGACTCATCCATGTCTCTTTTAAGGTACTCTTTGTTGTCTAGTTTCTCTGGGATTATGAATTGTAGGATGGTTTTCTTTGCTTTATATCTAAAAGCTACTTATGAGTGAGTACATATGATATTTATCTTTCTGGGTCCAGGTTACCTCACTCAATATGATGTTTTCTAGATCCATCCATTTGCCCAAAAATTTCAAGATGTCATTATGTTTTTCTGCTGTGTAGTACTCTACTATGTAAATGTGCCACATTTTCTTTATACATTCTTTGGTCAAGGGGCATTTAGGTTGTTTCCAGGTTCTGGTTAAGACAAACAATGCTATGAACATAGTTGAGCACATGTCCTTGTGGTATGATTGAGCATCCTTTGGGTATATACCCAAGAGTGGTATTGCTGCTTCTTGAGGTAAGTTGTTTTCTAATTTTCTGATACATTGCAGCACTGATATCCAAAGCAGCTGTATCAGTTTGCTCTCCCACCAACAATGGAGGAGTGTTCCCTTTACCCCACATCCTCGCCAGCATAAGTTGTCATCAGCGCTCTTGATCTTGGCCATTCTTTCAGGTAAAAGATGGAATCTCAGAGATGTTTTGATTTGCATTTCTCTGATGTCTAAGCATGTCCTTAAGTGTCTTTCAGCCATTTTAGGTTTCTTTGTTGAAAGTTCTCTGTTTAGGCCTGCACCCCATTTTTTATTAGATTATTTGTTCTTTTGATGACCAATTTCTTCAGGTTTTTTTTTTTATATATATTTTGGAGATCAGCTCTCTGTCTAATGTGGGGTTGGTGAAGAATTTTTCCCATTCTGTAGGCTGCTGTCTTGTCTTGTTGACCATGTCCTTTGTTTTAAAGAAGCTTCTCAGTTTCAGGAACCCATTCATTAATTGTTTCTCTCAGTTATCTGGGGTTATATTTAAGAAGTGGTCCTCTGTGCCAATGCATTCAAGTGTACTTCCCACTTTCTCTTCAATGAGTTTCAGTGTCATTGGTGTTATTCTGAGGTCTTTGATCCATTTGGACTTGAGTTTTGTGCATTGTGATAGATATGACTCTATTTTTCATTTTTCTACATATTGATATCCAGTTATGCCAGCACCATTTGTTAAATATGCTTTCTTTTTTCCATTTGATATTTTTTGATTCTTTGTCAAAAATCAGGTGTTCGGAGGTGTGTGGATTAATATCTGGGTCTTCGATTCAGTTTACAGCACACAGAGAGACTCCCACATCACACCCCAATACATAAAAACCCCCAAATGAAAACCTATCCTATTTGATGAACAAAGAGGGAGGGAGGAGGGGAGAGAGTTGCTTTCCTAATGCCAGGCTTGATAGAAAAGAACTGCTTCCAAAGAGTTCTTTCCAATCTGCCTGACTTTAAAAGGGCAGGAGAACAGCTAATGGGGTGGAGGATACAAAAGAATATCAGACTAAAAGTGAATTTAAAGACAATGTCATCCACTCACTTCAAGAGACTTAAGAAGATTAGGCACTCATCTTAGATAACAGGGAAGCCAGGAACAGCAATCAAAACCAACCCCTCCACCATGGAGGTCGCATTTTCATTATTTAAGGTGTGTTAGTACACAGGCAGCAGTGTTGCTTCTATGGTTCAGAGTCTTAGCATCTTAAGCAGGCTTTTGTTTTCAAGACTCAGATCTACTATGCTTAGCATTGCTTTTATATGGGAAAATACTTCTTAATTTTTATGGAAACTTGCCAACAAATAAAACCCCAGTGTTGGCTTTATTCTTGTGTAATAATACAGATTTTCTCTCTCTCTCTCTCTCTCTCTCTCTCTCTCTCTCTCTCTCTCTCTCTCCTTTTAATTGAACCTGTCTGTGTTGTCAGTTTTTGATTGCTTCTTCTCATTTATTAGCCCCAAATGTAAATATTGGATGATTAATAACTATGTCAGTAAAAATGTGACTTCACCTAAGAGCTAGCTCGAAGGAGAAAAACATCAGGAAATGGGACTATCAAAACACCCCATTTTACAGTGTTGCTCAATTTCAGGTTTTCTCCTTGAAACCCAAAGACACTGAGCCTTTGCAGGCTGACATCAGACTTGACATTTTTTTTCTCTTTGAAACAAAGGTGCTTCAAGTTCTCACGCATGTGGTGCTTCACCCCACTGAAAGTGCTAACGGACTGGACTGTAGGAGAGGCACAGCTTGAAGCGCATCGGAAACTAAAACCATCAACAGGGTTCGCTGCTTCAATCTTCTCACTGTCCAAATGGCAAAAGCTTTTGACACCCGGTAACGTGATTAGCAGTCTAATGGAAAATAACAAAACGGGGGGAAAATGAGAAAAAAATTTAAGTCACCTTGAAAAGTCCCGTTGCTGAACTTAGAATGAAATTGAATAAAAATGATCATACTATAACCTGTTGAGTATGTTCTATTTCAGTCTAGCGTCAATAAAGGATTAGTTGCTTTCACTCTTGAAACTTAAAATGCTTTAGGTCCATTACCCTGGGAGAGGTAGGACTGAAATATGCCTCTCATATTTACTGTCAGCATTATAATGAACATTTTATTGTTACCATTATCTGAGGCCTGTTCCAGTTTTCATTGCTGTGGTGTTTACCACCCAAATATTTTATAAGTAAGAAATGTGAACTCGGGAGATGGACTGGAACTGCTAAAATGGGAAATTATCATGTTTAATGCTTCCATCAACAGGATTGCTTGCTGCTCTCCACATTTGCTTGAAAGCCTGGTGACATCAAAAAAAGCAGAAAGCAAGCAGGAACAGAAGATAACCCAAGAGCAAGGACATGGCAAGGCAAGAACAAAAGAAGGCACGGGAAAGAGGCATCAAGGACATGGGTCACAGACAGAATTCAGTCAGACAGAACAGGGAAAGGAGTTGGGCCTTCAGGGAAAAAGAGACCACAAAAGTCAGGAACCGTGGGTTGAAAAGAGAGAAAACCTGATACAACTTCTGAGGATGATTAGTCTTAATGACAAAGAAAAAAATGTTAGAGATTTGGGTCAGGTCAGCCTGAGACTTCTGGGCCTTCCAGAAAGGACTTTCAGATGAGGATATGACCAAAGGGCTCATGGAAGGGAGAGCTAAAATGGTGAGCAGGTCATGAAAGCACGAAGTCGTGCGTTAGGTCATCACTGTCAGACTAAGTCTCCAGGGAACCCTCACACAGCTGCACACCCTGTGAGCTGTGACTAAAATTCTCTTTCTTCTGTACTGCCCATTTGAGGATGGTTATATCAGAAGCAGTCCCGAAAGACACAGATGGCGTCTCCCTCTAGAGTAAAGTTCTACTTCCGTTATAAACACCTCAGGTATCTTTAGCTCTGAGCTACTCGCATACAACCCAAACTAGCTCCTGCTGACCTGGCCTTTCCCACTATGGAAACCTAAGAATACTCAGGAATAACACTCTGGCTAGTGCTCTTACTGTAGTAAACAGCTCGCTGCCTGTGGCTCAGGAGTCTTCAATCAGCAGCCATGTAACTATTTTGTTTCGGATCCTTTAGTATTATTTAGACTCTATATTCCTATCAATTTAGATGGTAAGAATGGATGACTAAAAGAATACATGATTTTGGAAGTGAAAAGATGAAGACATTAAAGACAATCTGAAGCAAGACTGAGAGAATCTGTTGTAAGCCTCTTGATAGACTGGTATGGTCTGAGGATAATAAGTAGTTCCACTGATGAAGAGTAAAATAGAGGGAGAAAATTGGGAAGGTGGTTACATCTTTACATCCAGGGAAGAGCTTTGGAGAATCTGCCTAAACCATGCCCTAGTTGTTTGAAAATCTCTCCCTGGAGAGAACTGACTTCCGGCTAATCAACTGTGACATTGTACTCTGCTGTAACAGATAGTATCAGGTTCCTGTTAGTTTCCTAAGTAATGTGAATCTTTTACACTAGGCAGTAGCACTCTTGGTCACACCTTGAAAAGATGTCCTGGAACAAGGGGACTTTGTACTTTAATACCCAAAGTTGTCTCAAAATTCTCCCCTCCTTGTTTCTGTGTTATCTTGACTTCTGATGAATTATTTTGAATATAATCCTGCCAGTTATGAATTACTGGCTAGGATCAAATTCTTTCATTTTGTCCATTAGAGTGTTTTATTAAAGGTCCCATCAACAATACTTCAAACGATTGTTGAAATATGAGCGGCGGGGCTGCGTCCCCAACACCCCGGCCGCTTGGCTAGCTTATGCCCCGAAATAACAACACACAAACTATATTCATTTAAAAACCGCTTGGCCCGGCTAGTTCCAGATTCTTATTGGCTAGCTCTTACATATTGTTCTAACCCATTTCTAATAATGTGTGTAAGCACCCCAAGGTGCGCTTACCGGGAAGATTCTAACCTACGTCCATCCTGGGGAGCTTCATGCGTCTGCCTCAGAGTGCAGACCTATCGTGTCTATCCGGCAGAGCTGAGCATGGCGTCTCTGCTCCAGAAAGCAGAGCTGTCCGGTCCCTCTGGAAGCAGAGCAGAGTCTGACCTCACTTCCTCTCCCGCCCAGCATCCTATTCTGTTTCCTCCTCCCATCTATGTTCTAAGCTATGAGGCCAAGCAGTTGGTTTATTATAATTAACCAATGATCTTCCTCATCAAACGATACTCATCTGAATCATGCCTCCATCAGATCCCAAACCAAATGAGTGAGACAAATCTATTAGATGCCATCTTAGAAACCCAGTCTTTCTCCTTAGCCTCTGCATTGGTTATCAATTTTCCCCATGACAGTAATCTGCGCACATAAAGATATATTGATAATCTCACAAATGCTTTCTTGGCCCAAAGGAAGAAGGAAGAAGTGATAACTAACTCTCCATTCAAAATAAACCAGGTCAGTAAGTTCAAGATAGCCTAATTGCCTTCGGGGTCAAAGTGATGTCACCTGTCATTTTCGCTAATGCCACAGACAAATTCTTACTAGCTTCTCTAACTAGACAACTGAAGTTGTAGGATAAACTGCCCACTGAATGGCATAAATAATGCTAGATATTGTTACGCAAAGCCTCATAATCAAAGATAGAGCTTCATTAAAGAGATGCTTCCTCTACTGTCTCCTGTCTACAATCCCAGCACCAGAAAGACAGAGGTAAAAGAATTGTCAGTTCCAACTAAGGCCAACATAGAATATGGAGTAAGACAATGTCCTTAAAAATTACCTTCAGAGAAGGCTACCCACCCAGAGCAGTGAGCCTCAAGGTCCCCAGTAAGAGAGCCCGGCACCCTCAGCCTGGGCTCCAGGGGCTCCTGTGTTCTCCTGGATCCTGCACTGCCTGCCCCATCCTTCCTTCTGTCCCTGGATCACTGGGCTACCAGGCGGCCCTGTTTAGGTGCTGAAGAGTTCCATCTGGACGGGTGAGTGTGTGCTATCCAGGGGC